AAATATAAAGATTGGAAAGGAAGAAATAAAATTGTCATTATTTCATCTACTTAGAAAAACCAACAGAATCAACAAAGTATTAAAACAAAAAGTTCCACAAGGTTGCTGGATTCAAGATGACCTTCAAAAATTTAATAGTATTTCTCTATAGTAGCCATAATCAACTACAAAATATAATAAGAATAAGAGCATTTGCAAGAGCACAAAAACTATGAACTATTTAGTTCAATAAAACTATGAACTATTTCACTGAAGCAAGAATATACAGACATTCATGAAATAAACTATAAAACTGATAAAGGATATAGAGCATGATTATAATAAAGTAAAAGATACTCCATGTTTTTGGAAGGATTGATTTAAAAGTATCAAAATGGCAAACTTACCAAATTAACAAATTGATTCAATGAAATCCCAATAAAAATTTCAGTCGAATGTTTAGGAACTCAAACTTTCTCTAAGATCTGTATGGGAAAAAGGGTCCAGAAATTACTAAGTCAACCCTGAAAGACAAGAGTAAATAGGGGAATTTTATTCTACCAAATATTAAGACATGCTACAAAATCATAATAATAATAAAAACAGTCCGATATTGGCTTAAACACAGAAAAAAATCAGTGGAACAGAATAGAGAGTTCAGAAATTGACCTATATACAAATACAGAACTTTAATATATGGTAAAGTGGGAGCTGTGACTAAACAGGGAGAGAGAATGGATTGTTTTGTAGGCGATGTTGGGAGATAATATACAGATAATAAAACTGGATCCTTGTAAGTGGAAAAGTAAAACTGAATCTCTACCAAGCACCACATACAAAGAGTACTTGAACGCATCAGTAATCAGATAAGGGTAAATTAAAGTGGCAACAAGATCACCCTTTATACCTACTTGACAGTGAAACTAGGCATCTGGTTAATACCAGGTGGGGTGAGGACATGGGGCTCTAGGGCCCCAGGCAGTGCCACTGGACATGTAGACTCTGTAGTCATTCTGGATGGCTCACTGGTGGTACTTAGTCAATTAACCCAGCATTCTGCTCCTGGACGTATGTTTTTAAAAATCTTACTTGGATCCATGAGGAGACATGCAATGGTTTTCATGACAGCATTGTTTGGGGTGATGAGGAGCTGGAGGCAATCTGGGTGTCCATCTCTGGTGCCTTGGGTGCTCGAAATGGGATGGGTGCACATTGTGGAGTACTCTGCAGCAGGTAGAAGCAAGGGGCTTAAAAACATAGGATTGAATGGAAGAAGTAAGAATGAAATATATAATACAATACCTAACACTTAAGTGGTATTATATATTTATAATATAAAATGTGTTATCATTTTACTGAGTTTACATTTTATTCATACAGCAATACATATGGTTTAATAACACATAGCACATTAATTATCTGTTGCTGCTTACCAAATTACCCCCAAACTTAAACAGCAATAAACATTTATTATCTCACATGGCTTCTGTGGGTCAGGAATTCTATGGGCTAGAGCAGCTTAGCTGGTTGAGTCTGGCTCAGGGGATGCTCATGGGTTGCACTCAAGCTGTCCGCCAGGGCTGCAGTCATCTGAAGGCTGGACTAGGGCTGGAGGATCTGTTTCCCAGGTGGTGAGCTCACACAGGTACAAGTGAATGCTGGCTGTTGGCAAGGGACCTCAGTTCCTCACCACGCGGGCCTATCCTCCGGGCTACTTGAGTATCTTCATGACATAGCAGCTGGCTCCCTCCAGAGCAAGTGACATGAGTGACCTGAGTGCTTTGAGAGAGAGCAAGGAGGAAGCTACAGTGTCTGTTATAACCCAGCTTCAGAAGTGACACTCCGACACTTCTGCCACATTCTATTTGTTAGAAGCAAGTGATTATGTCCGGCCCACACAGGGGGAGGAGGGGGTTAGGCTCCACCTTTGGAAGAGGAGTGTCAAAAATTTGTGTACGTATTTTCAAACTACCACACATACTAGTTTAGAGAGGTTGCGTATAATAGGGAAGAATAATGGGAATGGGATAAAAGGAAATAAGAAGGGAGAGAGGGAGGGAGGTTAACAAGCGTCCTGTGTGTACCAAATGCAACAGTGTGCCACGAATCGAGGTGTATGTTTAATTGTCTGTATCTTGAGTTAAAAAAAAAAAGAAAAGAAAAGCTATGTGTGCATCTTTTCAGCTTCCTTTCTATATGTTCACATAAGCATGTAAACCTTCACATTTACAGGTTGTGCTTTNCTTAGCTGTAGAGGGCAGTGTCACTGGCCCTCATATGTGGGATCCGAACCGGGGCCCTCTGGCGTCCCAAGCCAGCTCTTAACCAACGCACCACTCGGCCAGCCCGACTCTCCTTTTCTTACTCTTCCAAAGTTGATTGACATATTCTCTCAAACTTGCTACTATAGAGACTTGCTAGCTGGGAATTGACATTTATGCTCCTAAGCTCTGACCCACTGTGAGTTGTTTTTGCAGTTCAGCAATGCAATTTACCTTATTCCCAAGTGCTTGCAGGGACCTAAATATAGTCCTTAAGTGCTTATCACATGATTTTTCCCATATTGCTCTTATTTCCTACTTTGTAAATGAGTTTTCTAGCCTGAGAATCATAATAACCCCTACGTATTTGATTTCATCAAGGCTTTTGGCAGAATATTGAGGTAGAAAAATGTGAGTGAGCTAGTTGAACCACTGTTGTTTATTTATTTATTTTTTGGGGGCCTTTTAATCTCTTATTGCTATTTGAAGTATACAATAATACACAAATTCCATTGTACAAAATCCAAATAATACAGAAGTATACAGAGTAAAATTTAAAAGTTGGCCTTGACACTCTTCCTATTTTTACTCTGTCCAGGGATGTTCACCGTTTCTCCTTTATTTTTGGATATATCTAATATCTTGAATTTATTCATTATAATTCAGTATCTCTGCTTATGTATCTCTATTTAATCTATCAGTTTCTGAAAGGGATGTGTTAAACTTAACTATGATTGTTGATTATCTATTTATTCCTGCATTTCTGTCAGTTGTTCCTTAACGTATTTTTGAGGCTGTATTATTAGGTGCAAAAATATGTTTATGATGATTAAGACTCTTTGTTCTGTTCTTTCTCTTATAATTTAGCAAAACACAATAAACTTTAAAGACAATCTAACCAAGCTTTCTTCTCAAGAAGTTAGAAAATGAACACTAGTGCAAAATTGAAGAAATGAGAAAGAAGAAAATAAAAATGATAAGGGCAAAAATTAATAAAATGGAGACTTAAAAAGAATATAGATTCATACCAATTAAGATGGTGATTATAAAACAAAAACAAAAGCAAAACAGAAAATAAATGTTACTGAGGACTTGGAGAAATTGGAAACTGTGCAGTGCTCATGGGAATATAAAATGGTGTGCTACTATGGAAAGCAGTATGGCAGTTTCTCAAAAAATTAAAAATAGAATTACTGTATGATTCAGCAATTTGACTTCTGGGTAGATACACAACAGAATAGGAAACAGGGTCTCAAAAAGATATTTGTACATCCATATTCATAGCAGCATTATTCACAATAGCCAAAAGGTGGAAACAACCCAAATGTCTATTCACAGATGAATGGAGAAATGAAATGTGATATATACATACAATGGAATATTATTCAGCCTTAAGAAGGAAGGAGGGCCGGCCGAGTGGCGCAATGGTTAAGAACTGGCTTGGGACGCCAGAGGGCCCCGGTTCGGATCCCACATATGAGGGCCAGTGACACTGCCCTCTACA